CAGTGGAGCCCAGGGACAGCAAAAATAACGACAATCCAGAAGAAAAGGAAGAAAAGAGGGACGATGATGGAGATAAGGAAAATCAACAAGCAGTTATTCTTGGGGATAATGCAATGTCGATTATTGTTGAGCACGTAGAAAAGTGAGATGATTCAGAGGACTACAACAACATGCACATGCAATCAAAAGATCTGATATGTTTGTAGACTGGGCAATTGAAGAAGCAGTGCCTCTAAACCATCAAAGCTTAGAGGTAGAAAAAGATCTGGAATTCGAGGCATCGATTTGGGTGCATCAGAATATCATTAGATTGAGCAAGGAATTTGGGGTGGATTTTAATGGGTGCGAGAGAGAAGCACTGGAGCTTTTCATGAAAATTGACAACAGAAGGCAAGCAAACAAAGGGAAAGAAGTTACATAGGTGGTGCAAACTCCAAATAAAAAGGGATTTAAAGAGCTGAAAGGTCTGGATATTGGAAGTAACTTCAAGAGTAATGGAACTAGAAGCAGGGGGGATGCATTATTAGTCATAGCCAATGTTAGTAAACATTATATCATGGAATGTTAGGGGACTTAATAGAGTTAGGAAAAGGAGATCGACTAAAAGTTTGATACTCAGTTGGAAGGCGGAGATTTTTTGTTTCCAAGAATCTAAAATAGAAGGGGATAATAGGGAGATAGTAAAAGAATTATGGGGTAATAGATGGGTGAAATTTGTACAACTGGAAGCTAGTGGGACTAGAGGGGGTATTGTAGTAATGTGGGATGGAAGAATATGGAAGGGGAAGTATGTTGTGTGGGAGCACATACAATTACCTGTAAATTTTCAGGTAAGACTCGGGAATATACATGGCATCTTTCAGCTGTGTATGCTCCTAATGACAGAAGAAAGAGGGAGGAAGTGTTGTGGGAGCTGGCAGGTGCAAGAGGTCTCTTTAGTGGACCTTGAGTGGTATGTAGGGACTTAAATACCGTAAGGTACCCATCAGAGAAGAAGAATTGCTCAAGAATCACAAGAGCTATGACTGAGTTTTCAAATTTTATTAAAGACATGGAATTGGTAGACATTCAATTATCAGGAGGTGAGTACACATGGAGAAAAGGTGACAGGCATGTAATAGCAGCCAGATTGGATAGATTCTTGATTTCTGCTGACCGGAATGAAGACTTTAGAAACATAAAGCAATCACTGCTTCAGAGAGTTACTTCAGACCATTTTCCACTGATGCTTCAATGTGGTAGTTGAGATCCAGTTAAATCATACTTTAAGTTTGAGAACTGGTGGCTGTAGACCGAAGGATTCAAAGATAGAATTCAAGAATGGTGGAACTCTTTCACCTGTGAAGGAAGGCCTGATTTCATTCTAGCCTTTAAACTTAAAGCCTTGAAGACAAAGCTTAAAGAATGGAGCAAAACTCTACAAGGCAATTTAGCATTGCAGAAAGCAAGTATCCTCGGCCAACTTGCAGAGCTGGAGGAGTTACATGACCAAAGGAGCTTGACAGAGGAGGAAATATTCACAAAAAACTTCATTGTCCATGGAGTTTGAGGAGATTGCTAGTCATGAAGAAGTAGCATGGAGACAAAGATCCAGGGCCCTTTGGTTAAAAGAGGGAGACAGGAACACCAAGTTCTTCCACAGAATAGCTAATGCTCACAGGAGATATAACAATATTGATCAGTTGATAGTAGAAGGGGAATCTCTGCAAAATCCTGAAGATATCAAGAGGGTGGTTATTAGTTTTTATCAAAACATGTACACAGATTAAGAAGAGTGGAGGCCACTAGGTTCCATCAGAAACAGCCAGATGATTACAACAGAAGATAACTTAATGCTGCAGAGTCCATTTGGAGAACAGGAAATATGGGATAGTGTTAAGGAAAGTGCAGGAGACAAAGCACCTGGCCCAGATGGATCATCAATGGCCTTATTCACTAATTGCTAGGATGTGGTTAAAAGGGATGTGGTAGCTGTTGTTCAGAACTATTATGATCAAGGAATATTTGAAAAAAGCCTTAATGCTACTTTTGTGGCTTTGATTCCTAGAAGGTGGGGGGCAAAGAACTGAGAGACTTTAGGCCTATCAGTTTGATAGGCAGTATATACAAGATTATCTCCAAGTTATTCACTAAGAGGCTCAAAAAGGTGGTCAACAAACGGGTGGATTCTCAACAGATGGCAGTCATAAGAGTAGGCAGATCATGGATGCTGTCCTAATAGCTAATGAATGCATTGATACAAGGAAAACAAGCAAGGAACCTGGGATACTATGCAAGCTGGATATAGAGAAAACATATGATCATTTGAATTGGAATTTTCTCCTTGAAACCCTCAGGAGAATGGGCTTTGGTGGAAGATGGATTAACTGGATAAAATACTGCATCTCCACTGTAAGCTCCTCAGTACTCATAAATGGAGCACCAGTTGGGTTTTTTCCTTCTTAGAGGGGTTTGAGACAAGGGGATCTCCTATTCCCTTTCTTATTCATTATTGTCATGGAAGGATTGAATGATATGCTAAAAAGAGCTCAGACAAACAATTGGATCAGGGGCTTTAAGGTGAATTATAGGGCTGATAGCAACATGATGATTTCCCACTTGCAGTATACCGATGACACTTTGGTGTTTTGTGAAGCACATAGAGAACAACTGAAAGTATTAAGGATGATCTTCATCCTTTTTGAAGCCACTTCTGGACTACACATAAACTGGCACAAAAGCTTCATTTACTATGTCAATGAGGTAATGGAGCTACAAAGTCTTGCTGATATTCTTGGTGGGAATGTAGGTGAATTACCTGCTGTATATCTGAGGATGCCATTGGGAGCCAAGAGCAAATCAAAAGGAATTTGGAATGGTGTGCTGGAGAAGTGTGAAAAGAAGCTAGCAAATTGGAAGAATCAATATCTATCTATGGGGGGTAGACTAATCTTGATTAACTCTGTCCTTGATGCCATGCCTACTTATATGATGTCTCTATTTTCAATTCCAGTCAATGTAGTGAAGAGAATTGATGCTTTAAGAAGAAATTTCTTATGGGAAGGCAACAGTGAGAAGAAGAAGTTCCACCTGGTTAAATGGAACTCTCTGACTACTAGCAAGAAGACAGGGGGATTGGGAATCAAAAACCTGAGAGTTCAGAATCATAGTTTGATGATGAATTGGCTATGGAAATTTGCGGCAGATGAACAATCATTGTGGAGAGAGGTTGTTAGGGAGAAGTATGGAATGGAAGGAAAATGGACAACCAAACCAGTGAGAAGTCCATATGGTGTCAGTTTGTGGAAGTCAATTAGGAATTGTTGGCCAAAAGTGATTAACAAAGCCAAGTTCAAAGTAGAAAATGGTATGAAGATTTCCCTGTGGGATGACATTTGGCTAGGCCAAGGACCTTTGAAGCAACTCTTCCCTGACATATATACCTTGAATCAACAACAAAAAGCTACATTAGATGAGGCATGGACTAACCAAGGTTGGAATCTTACCTTCAGAAGACTGCTAAATGATTGGGAGATTGATAGAGTAATTGAGTTTTACAATACTTTGGAGCTATTCGGTGGAATCAACTCTAATCAAGATCTCTTCATATAGCAAGGGAATAGGCAGGGGAAGTTTTCTGTTAAGTCTGCTTATAAGGAATTCAACTTGTCTAATAACCAGGTTGGTTGTTGGCCATGGAAGATGATATGGAAAGTAAAAATTCCCTACAAGGTTGCTTGCTTTACATGGTTACGCGCAAAAGAAGCGGTACTAACTCAAGACAATCTAACTAAAAGAGGATTTCACTTGTGCTCTAGATGTTACTTATGTGGAGAGGAAGCAGAGACAATTAGCTATCTCTTTTTGCACTGCAAATTCACCGTACAAATATGGAGAATTTTCATCAGCTTAAGGGGAAATTTATGGGCAATGCCGGGAAGGATTCTTGATGTTCTAGCTTGCTGGAATAAATAGGGCATCCTTTCTAGTTATAAAGAGAGATGGAGAATTGTCCCAGCCTGCATATGGTGGACAATTTGGGAAGAGAGAAATCAGAGATGTTTTAAAGACAAGCCCAGTAACATCCAGAAGACAAAGATGAAATGTTTAGCTCTTTTCTGTTTTTGGTGTAAAGGGAAGTTTTTGGAGGATCATGAATCCATTTTTGATGTTCTAGATTCCTTGTGGAAGACCAAGGATTATAAGTGTCTTTATTTTCTTTTTGGGCACTTTTATTGTAATTATGGGTGACTTCACAATTTAGTGAAGGCTTTATATTAATATACGAATATGTTACCTTCTCAGAAAAAAAATAACTAAAGCTTCTACGGGTGGCTTCGGAAGAATGGATGACTCTGAAGGAACCAAGAAACTTGTTGTAAAGTTGCCAGAACAGAGCTCTTGCACCAGCACTTGAGAAAAATCTTGCTGGAATTCCTACCTACTGATTGGCGCATGACAATGCGTCTAACCTTACATGAGGGCTTGACTTATTAGGTTGTGCTTGCACAAGTATTGCCACTCTTGTAGTGGGGCTAATTTAATTCAATACTCATGGAAGGTTATCATACCTCTGACAAATTCATCAGCTGCCTAAGGGTTACGCATTAGTGATATTTCATTGCTTAGATGCATTGATGACGTGCCATGATGAGTAATTAGAGTTTACTTCTCTTGAACACTATAACATAATGTGAGAACTAAGTGAGATTGAAAAATGCACAAACACAAATGTCTTATGCATGACTCCTCCTTTTCGGCACAATTTACGATGTTTAGTATATATATTCAATGATATGTGTATATTTTATGCAATGAGGGGCACCAGTATATATACTCTTTATTATATCTACTTTAACTATTTAGCATAACTATCTAACTGTAAAAATGTATATGTGCTGTTGCTTTTGTTCTAGAATAAAGTTAACGGGAGATGTCAGATGGATGAATAGCCTTTACAATTTTCTTTTGAATTAGAAAGGGAAAGTGATTATGTGATCCAAGATGTACTTTGTTGACAGATTAAAAGAGAAATATCAACGATGAAGTTGATCAAACATCCAAATGTCATAAGAATCTTTGAGGTATGTTGTGATCCTTCGGCCCTGGCTTCTTCCTCGTCACTTATAAACATACAATTCTTCTGTGAATATTTCATGCCGATGCCGAGTTATGGTGATTATCTGCTTCTGTTAGCACCTCCTATCACTGTATAGCTTCCCCATGTTTGGCTTCATGCTAGAAGGTGCTCCAATACCAAGTTTTATGAAGTTACATGCCCTTAAATTACTCTTCTTCTCTAATGATATCTTCCTGAATGCTTCATATCTTTTTAATTATGTTTATTCTAACTCTGGTTTCTATTAGGTTATGGCTAGCAAGACGAAGATCTATATTGTCCTCGAATATGTTCATGGAGGAGAGCTTTTTGATGAAATTGTAAGTTTTCTCCTTTGGACTTGCTTTATGCACTTGTACATCCTGCTTTCCCCTATTTTTCTGGGGGAGACAGAGATGACTGGTAAAGTTGAGTTTTCTTGGAACTGTTTGCTAGATTCAGATTACATGTTCTTTTTGCACTTATTTGCATCTGTTATCACATTTTATTCCTGGGCAAAAGATCTTGTATTTGCTATGAGCGTTTGTATCTGAGTAATATATTTTACAGGCTAGACATGGCAGACTCAAAGAAGATGAAGCTAGAAGATACTTTCAACAGCTTATTAATGCCGTTGATTACTGCCACAGCAGAGGCGTTTACCACAGAGACTTGAAGGTTGCTGACCCTTAATCTCATTTTTTTGTTAAATACTGAAGTTATATTCCTTCACGCTTTGACTAGTATTAATATTCTGTTACCTGACCTGTAACCATTTGTAGCCTGAGAATCTGTTGCTGGATTCATTTGGTACTCTTAAAGTTTCAGACTTTGGATTGAGTGCACTTTCCAAACAAGTTCGAGTAAGTATTCTGTATGTTTGAAAACTTAAGAGTACATAAAGACTCTGTCCTAAAGTAGATAACCATATTTAGTACTATACAAGAGTCAAATTAACAATTTTTGTGGGTTTGTTTGATAATTGATCAATCCATTTTATGGAAACAAAGTTCATGGATTTGAAAAATAACCATAAACCACAAAATTTTAGGTTACACTATAAGATAATGTGAAACAATCGTGATCGAAGAAAACATCCACTGCCAATGCTCTTTGTATATTGACTGTCAAAAAAGTAAAGGTATAATCGCCAATAACTAAGTAAACAAATGAATAAATGCCCGCACCTGTTACAAATTCATACATGGATGTTTCCATCATCCCTCACTAGTATTGTACAGTATTATAGCTGATGGAAAACTGTCGATGTTATTACAGGACGATGGACTGCTTCATACTGCTTGCGGCACACCAAACTATGTTGCCCCTGAGGTAACAACAATTGTTATTGACAGCTAAACACTTATTATTATTTCTTATTGGTTTCCTGTCTTTAACAAGAACTGGTGTTTCAGGTACTAACTGACAAAGGCTATGATGGTACTTCAGCTGATGTGTGGTCCTGTGGAGTCATTCTCTTTGTTCTAGTGGCTGGATACTTGCCTTTTGATGAACCAAACCTAAATTCTCTGTACCGAAAAGTAAGTTTCTGAAGTTTTTGCCATCTTCATTTCTTTTCAGAGTTGTTTCTGGAATTCTTCCTTCATTTATTTCATATTTCTACTTATATAATTTTGTAATTCAATTGTTGTCAGATCCTGAAGGCTCATTTTTCACTTCCACCATGGTTATCCTCCAGCTCAAAGAAACTGATCAAGCGTATTCTTGATCCAAATCCACTCACGGCAAGTCCCTTTATCTTTACTTTAACTGCTTCCTCGAATGAGCATCTTTGGAATGAGCTAATTCTAATAAATACTGATCTAAAGACTTACCTTTCATATTAGGAATTATGTAGAGTACTCAAGAACTGACCAAGTGCACATTTAGGAATATTCATATGAATAAAACTGGGTTTCTCTTCACCTGATTAGTTTGATGAAATAACATGCTCTTGGCGCCAATGCCACCACTTCAAGTATTACTTAGAGTTCAAATCCTCCCCCTCCCCTCACCCCCCCAACACCCCCCCCCCCTAAAAAAAAAAAAAGGAATTCATGTTTCTTGTTTCTTTTTCCTGATGAATCATTTCTATGTTTTGTTTCAGAGAATCACTATCCCAGAGATCCTTGAAGATGATTGGTTCAAGAAAGATTACAAGCCACCAAATTTTGAGCAAGATGATGATGTCAATCTTGATGACATTGATGCCATTTTCAATGGCTCAGACGTAAGTCACTTTTCCTTTCACACCTACTACTGTTTAAGAGTTCAAAGCAAGTTCTTTCCAATTATAGTCACCTCCTACCAACCCGCCTTAAAACATTTATCAATAAGTTTTGAGCACGAGATACTTACATTAGGTAGAGATATAATTTCCACTGTTTGAGCGATAAGCATACCTCATGTGCCCCGGCATGTTAACAGGATCCATTTGAGTATGTGGGCCTTGTAGTTGGGATGCAATTTAAGTAAGGATGAACAACAGAAGGGCCATTTCCTTTTGTATTCCTTGAGAAATTTAATAGCTATAGAGGGTATAATTGGAGCTTAATAAGATGTCTTGAGAACCTGACATCCTGTTTGATATGATATGCATATTTTATTTTGGCAGGATCATCTCATCACAGAAAGCAAGGAAAAACCTGCTTCTGTCAATGCGTTCGAGCTCATTTCAAGGTCAAAGAGTTTCAACCTAGAAAATTTGTTCGAAAAGCAGGCGGTACTTTCATATGTCTTGACACTTCATATATCAACATAGTGATAAATAGTTGATATAATCTGACTTAAAAAATATGTCAAAAAGTGTCTCTTGTGTTTCTCTTTTTATTCAGATTTTGCTGCTAATGCATTTTCTAATGTATTTTGGATCCGCAAAGTATAGGGCCTTATCAAGAGAGAAACACAATTTACTTCCAGGTGCCCTGCAAATGAGATTATCTCCAAAATTGAGGAAACTGCAAAACCTTTGGGTTTCAATGTCCAGAAGAAAAATTACAAGGTAACACCTTGCACCTTCAGCATTGGATGTCTGGATTTGACTGAATATCAATTGACCCTAGTCCCTAGTGGAAATTTGACCTTTTACCAAATCATTTTTTCCTAAAACAAATTCTTAATCTTGACTATTCCAGATGAAGTTACAAGGTGACAGAACAGGAAGGAAAGGCCACCTTGCTGTTGCAACAGAGGTGACTACTTCGTTCTTTCTAATAGAAAGTCTTTTAATTTGTTGCTTCCTAATATTAAATAGCCTCTCTATCCCTCCGGGGTAGGGGTAAGGTCTGCGTACACTCTACCCTCCCTAGACCCACTAGTGGGATCCTACTCTACCCTCCCCAGACCCCACTAATGGGATCCTACTGGGTTGTTGTTGTTGTTGCTTCCTAATATTAAATGGTTTAAATGGTGGGTTATTACTGACTTGAGAATAGCGTCCTTACTAGGACTTGCCTTATTTTCCTTCTACAATTTCCTCTTAGGAAAGAAGGATACAACCATTGTAGTGCATGAATTGCTACTTCAGAATCTGAATAGTATCATGTAAACGACGTCCCTCTCATTGATATTAATATATTGGTGCATACTTGTTACTTCAGGTGTTTGAAGTGGCTCCGTCGTTGCATTTAGTTGAGCTCCGGAAAACTGGTGGTGACACATTAGAGTTTCACAAGGCATGTTTTTGTTTAAATTCCTAGAACAATTGTGACATTGTGTAATTATTGGAAGACCATAGTGACTTAACAGATTCTTGGACCTTAAAAATGGCAGTTCTACAAGAACTTCTCTTCGGGATTAAAAGATATCGTCTGGACATCCGAACAAAGCTCTGAAGAAAAAAGGTATTTTTCTTGTAATCAACACAAATCTGTTTGCATATATAGTGTATTTATAAATAGAAATGTTCCATATATATATATATTTGTGACTTCTTTCTTCTAATAATGTTCCGTGGCTCTTGACAATTGTTAACTTAATGGTGCTTCTTGTTCAGGTCTTAACAAGTGGCTGTTCCACCCCTGTACAGTGGCTATAATGTTTCAATCACCCTGTAGAATCCATAGAGAGGAATTCATAAGAGCAGACACCTGTAGATGCATCAATGTTCCATTGTTTCTCTGTCTGAATTTGATCCATAAACACAGTACAATAGCAAGATCTGTTGACACTAGTTTCTCAAGAAGAAGCACTCAAAATGGTGCATATGTTTGTACAATTCAATACATAGGGTTCCATAAGATCATACTGACAAGAACTCCATTGTGTCTACACCAACTGCTGCAGATAATATGTAGGGAACTACTTTCCTATTTTAAATTCTAGCTTTTGTTTCCATCAAACCCACAGGTTCTCCTTTTCTTTTTTCTTGTATCTTCATCTCCTTTTCTGAACTAGCAGATCGTCCTATTATCCCTTTCCCATGGTGTGTGTACATGTAAATTCTTTTGCACAATTTTTTTTATTTTCCTATATTGTCAGCATTTATTCAAACCAAAAGTTAAAAGGGACATCATCTCTTGACCACTCGTATTTTCCCCTATATAAGCTAGGTTAGACTACTGACGATAACATCATATAAGCCAAAAGTTTACAAGTAATGTTATGTATATAAAAAGCAGGAACATGAGCTCAAGAGATACTTGCAGGTCATAGAATTGAAAAAAGGAAATGAAATCACAAAGAATCATACAAGTGCTGACAGCAACATAACATAACAGATCTAGTCATAGAGCACTCTGGAGGCAATCTCACAGCGAAAAAGAACATTAGAGCTCAGCTTATCAAGAAAATTACAGATATGTATAAGTATGAAGAACACAAAGTAATACAAGTTTTGCATAATTCTAATCCCGACAGAGGTGCCATAACAGATCACTGGAAGAGGATAGCCACATCCAAGTAATCTCCTATCTGCAGTGGCAAAAACAAGTGAGCACCAAAAAGGTAGGTTGAGGTTGATGATTCCATATAAACAAAGCGTTTACCTGAAATTTAAGTTCACTCAAAGTTTTGCTGCCACTATCTGGTCGCCTCATATTTGGATAAGAAAACGTTCTCCCCACCTTCACATCAGGGGGATTAATAAACACTATAAGATCACTGTTGACTTGAAAATATTATAACAAATATTGTTACATTAAAAATCGCAAATGGCAATCCCAGATTTCTCACACAATAGTACCATTTGAACACTAAAATTTGATGAACACTAAAAGAAGAAACTTTGAAACTATTGCACACATTGACTACTAAATTTACTAGTAGATTGTGCAAAGACCAAGAAGTCAGTAGGATATGATGAAGAAATTAGTAGACAAATTGAACATGTAGGATGGACAAACTTCAAAAGCAGTAAAGGTGACACGTCACATCATGTCTATCATGTTTATAAAGTCCATGGAAATCTTCAAATAACTCAACAGATGACATGTTCTGGAAGTTTTAGTTATCAAAGTGATAATCCTTTATTCTAGTGCGAAACTAGTCTCGGAAAATGTGAATAAGAGGCATAATCAAATGAAAGAACATCTTGCACGAACTACAAACATGGTCCACACATACACAATATGACACGTACCATTAACCATCCAAAAGTCGCAAGATAATTAAAAAAAAGGTGCAGAAGCACCACTCATACAACAAGCACACCTTCACATGTCAACACCAAGTTCATATACAAACAAGCATATAGAGAAAGAAGTGAGAAAGACCTCTCTAACGACAAATCGCCCCCTTTTATCAGGATAGACAAAAGCAAAGGACAAAGTTGCATCTCTTCGTCTTGCTTCTGGAGCTACCTCTTTAACCTGATACAGTCGCAGTAAACAGATAAACCACATGAAAAAAGGTTTGACATGAAAATATATTAGGATATAAAGAAGAGTGAGGAAAATTAACTGCAACCTAGGGTGCGGCCTAATGGTCGATGAAGTGAGTTGAGAACCATTAGGTCTCAAGTTCAAATCCCAGGGGAGGAATGACACTAGGTGATTTCTTTCCATCTGTCCAAGCCTCGGTGGATAGAGTTACCCGGTACCCCTATGGTGGGAGGTAGCATGGACCTCGTGGAATTAATCATGGTGCGTGTAAACTAGCTCGGATACCACGGTTATTAACAAGATTTACAGTACAACTGCGCTGGCATGTCCCTGAAAGCCGATGATATACAAATTGTGCCACAAAACTAAAATGAATTGATTACACTGCTGCATTTTGCCTGACATTTAGGCATGCCGAATAAGTTAAATAGTACATTCTGCTGTCAATTTTGGTGAGTAGTTATTCACGTATAACCATCAAGAGAGACTCAATTTTGTCAGAATCTATTCAACTGTCTAAGCAATTACTGATAACATCAATCGGTTCAAGACACCTCATACTCTTGCCTTCGTACTGAATATGCAATATACCAGCTTATTGAGGTTTTTTATTTCTAAAAAAGGGGGTAGGAGAAGGAGAAATTAAGGAGGGGATTACAAGGTGGGAACCAGACCCCACTTGTGGGATTATACTGGGTGGTTGTTGTTGTATTACAAGGTGGGAAATCGAACCCTCGCCAATAAGGTGAAATTTCAGGTAGCCAACCAACTGAGCAAGTAAGATTCCCCTCATTGAGGTCTTAAATTCATTGTATTTCAATGATCTTCTATATGTCAACTGACAACTCAAATACACGCTGTATATATGGAAGAAGACTCAGCACTCAAGAAATCCAACAGCTCATCTTCCGGACAACTAGAGATATTAGTAATTCATACAAGTCAACAACAGAAGGCATATTGTAAAAAATTTGCTACAATCTCTTAGCATCTTAAAATGCTTCATGCATGCAACCACATAATGAACATGAGGATACACAATGAGTAAGGGAGACACCAACTAAATTGGAGAGATCAGTTTAAAGATATAATCATATAATATTTGTCACTTTCATCATACCAAATCAGTTAATTCACGCAGAGTAGCATCCATCCATGTATAGATTTGGACCTCATCTTTGGGTTCCTTGCCTCTCACCGCAAACTCATTGTCACTGTGATGGCCTCCAATCTGTAAGTTCCAAAGTAAAGCCTCCACTGAGTGTATTGCTGATTGACCATAATACCGATGCAACATTTGTTTCACACTTTGTTTAAAAGTGGGCGAAACCCAAACTATGCTCACAGTATCTGTTTTTTAGTGACATCAAAAAGTGAAGCTTACGCAAAGCATATACATTTTGAAAGCGCACACGATAAGAAAGCACAATCTTGCATATACTTTTTAGTGCATTCAAACTTCCAAAGCCGTTAAAACTTGAGGATTACGTCGAACAGAACACCTTTAACAGATCTTTGTCTTGCCCATATAGTTTTTTGTGGTATGATAAGATGTCTTGCTCATATAGTTATTCCATGAACCAAAGAAGAAACAGCAATAAAATATAGAACTTGTACCAATCGGAAAACATTTAGAACTTACCATCTATCCAAAAATTAAACAAAATACAGAAATTATTTAAGAGTAATAGAAGTGATGATTTTACAAGAGAACTAGCACAAAACAAACAATGGAGTTCTTTTGGAGTGCATACCTTAGTGAAAACACGAAGCAACAGAGGACAAGTCTGGTTTTTGATGGAATCCCCAGAAACAAAAAAAGGAAATAGGATATTGTAAGTAACTTCCAGTATGCAAAGAAAAATATTCAATTTATGTCCCATGAACTCACATTAACATAGTATGTGAGAATAACAAATACAAAATGTTAGTAGAAAAAACACATGCCAACTAACTCTAGCGAAAACACACAAAAGAAAGACCACTCCAGACAGCATGTATTGTCCCAAGATAATACAAAGTGATGCCAAGATCTCAGTTCATATTTTTGCTTGTATTGCTTTCCCTCCATTTGGTAAGCAACAAGGTCAACTTGCAAAGCAAGTGCCAGCATGCCTTTTCCATTTTTTCGTCTGCCCCTGCTGCGTAGGAGGGAAGAAGGGCAGCCAAGCTTCAATCTTTGGAAGTAAATGCAAAAGAAGATATCTATTTATCAAATTTCTGACATAAAATTAACAATCACAGTCCATTTGATACTGTACCAAATAAGAGATACTGTCTTCTCACAATTCGCTGGTTCTTTTATTGATTGGCAGGCAAAAAGTTTGTGCGTGCACTTGTGTTACATATTCCTCCTCTGTTAAAATCAGCATAGACTTGGAAGAAAGTAACACATCACCTTTGAATTATATTTCTTGTTTCAAATTACATAGTGGTGACTCTATAAGTTTTAAATTCTCAAACTTGCATTTTTTGGGGGGCAGTGTCAAACTTGGATTTACCAGATCAAATATCATTCCTTGTATAATAATACACCAGTCAACTTAGTATTGAAACGAAACAGAGTCCAAATGGAGCAAAAATATGGGCAGCCCAACTAGTATGGGATCATAGCATAGTAGTATAGTTGTTGCTGTTGAATAGCAATACACCATAAACACCATAAACACCAAAACCCTAGAGAGTCCACTACAGAAGGTTAGGTTCGAAACACCTTGAAACAAAAAAGGCACAAGCTTAGACAAACTATTTAAGTCCAAAAACCATCTAATACTAACAACTGTAATCAATTCAGAAAACAAAAACAAACAAAAAAAGAGAAAAAGGAGGGACCTTTTCACGATCGACTGGTTGGAGGCGGGGAGCAAGCCTAGAGGGAGGTGGACCAAGCGGGCCTCTCGGTGGTGGAGGAGGTAATGGTCTTCCCCTTCTCTGAACATCCGCCATTGCTACTCAACACAACAGGGTTTAAGCAAGTTCTTTTTTCGCTTTGCTCTTTTACTCTTGGGCCTTTTCATATAAACCCCTGTTGGGCTCACCTTTGGGTGGAAATTTGAGTATAAATTCATTTGACCCGCACAATTCGTTCAAGGTTGAGGTCCTTGGACCCACCTATTTATTGAAGGAATTTTTTCATTTCTATACAATATTAGAAACTTTATTACCCTTAATGTTCATGTTAGTTAATTGGGGTTTTGACACAGTTACCCACAAAAATAAAACTATTTACCTTGTCTACCCATAAACTAATTACATTTCCTATCCATATTAGATTTTGTGGAGAGTTTTTTCTTTATTCTCCAATTCATTTTTATTTCTATGCTTCTTTTCTTTTCTTTTTTCTTTTTTTTTTCTTTTCTCCTTTTTTTTCTCGTTTTCTTCTTCTTCTTTTTTTCTTTTTTCCTTTTCTAATTTTATTTAACTTCTGTTTTTTTATTTTCTTTTTCTCTTCATAATCTAATTTCATTTACTCTTTTCACTATTTTATTATTCTTTTTTTATATTATTACTAAAGAAAAATC